TGGGACTACAGGTGCCCGCCAACACGCCTGGCTAATTTTTTGTATTTGTATTTTTAGGAGAGATAGGGTTTCACCATGTTGGCTGGTTAAATTTTTTATTTTAATTTTTGTTTCCCAGGCTGATCCTGAACTTCTGGGCTCAAGCAATCCCTCCTGCCTCAGCCTCCCAAAGCACTGGGATTACAGGTGTGAGACATAATGCCCGGCCAAAACAACTTTTTTGTTTGTTTGTTTGTTTGGGATGAAGTCTTGCTCTGTCGCCCAGGCTGGAGTGCAGTGGCATGATCTCGGCTCACTGCAACCTCCACCTCCCAGTTCAAGCAATTCTCCTACCTCGGTCTCCTGAGTAGCTGAGATTACAGGCGTGCATCACTACGCCCAGCTAATTTTTGCATTTTTAGTAGAGACAGGGTTTCACCATGTTGGTAAGGTTGGTCTCCAACTCCTGACCTCGTGATCTGCCTGTCTTGACCTCCCAAAGTGCTGGGATTTCAGGCATGAGCCACCACGCCCGGCCCCAAAACAACTTTTTAAATGTAAGGGGTGGGCCCATGAACAATACATGGTGAATCTGCTACAGTCAAAACATATTAATGATTCCTCATACCTTAAACATCGGCACTAACTTTGTACATTGCCTTGCCACCATTCCTCCTCTCTGTCAAAATGTGCAGTGTTTATCTGGGTGCTTTATATTTGTAAAACCAGGCCAGGCACAGTGGCTCATGCCTATAATCCCAACGCTTTGGGAGGCCGAGGCAGGTGGATCACTTCAACTCAGGAGCTCAAGACCACCGGCGCAACATGGCGAAACTCCGTCTCTAGAATAAATACAAATATTAGCTGCAAGTGGTGGTGTGCATCTGTAGTCCCAGCTGTTCAGGAGGCTGAGGTGGGAGAACCACCTGAGTCTGTGAGGTTGAAGCTGCAGTGAGCCGTGACTGCTCCACTGCACTCCAGCCTGGGGGGACAGAGTAAGACACTGTCTCAAAACAACAAATAAATAAATGTGTAAAACCAAGAGGCAGATGTCGTGATAAGACATGTTGGTCAGGAAAGGCTACCTCATGTCATTCTCAAGTTCAAATCAACACACACAGAATGCTGGGAGACTGTGACCATCAGAGCTCAGTGGGGTCTGAGCAGGTCTTCCCACCAAGTCAAAGGCCATCACCTTCTCACCACCAAACATTTCAGGCCCGGGACAGTCACGCTGTTTCCTAAACTAGACACGGCACAGGCAGGGGCATCGGGAGAACATTCACACTGCTTCCGCAGATATCCTTGAGGGGATATGTTCAGGCCGGCATCGTGCCACAGCCTCCTAAATGCGTGCACACAGAGGCTGCTCATGGTATGACACAAAGCTTCAAAAACCAGGGCATTCAGTCCAGGCGCGGTGGCTCACGCCTACAACCCTAGCACTTTGGGAGGCCGAGGTGGGTGGACCACTTGAGGTCAGGAGTTTGAGACCAGCCTGGCCAAAATGGCGAAAACCCTTCTCTACTAAAAATACAAAAAGTAGCCGTGTGCGGTCGTGTGCACCTGTAGTACCTGCTACTAAGGAGGCTGAAGCAGGAGAATTGCCTGAACCTAGGAGGCGGAGGCTGCAGTGAGCCAAGATTGCGCCACTTACTCTCGCCTGGGTCACAAAGTGAGACGGTGTCTAGGGTAAACAAACAAACAAAAAAAGCAGGGTATTCAACAGAAGACAGAATATAATAAAAATAAGATAGATGCTGGGAAAAACTACTGCCATGACCACAGTGAGTGGTAAAATCACGGGTGGTTTTATTTCTTCCCTGTGTGCTTTCAGTCACTCTAGTCAACCACTTATTTTTGCAATCAGAGAAAATCATTATAATAGCTATAAAAACATTTTAACAAAAAATAATAATACCTCTGAGATGTCCCAAGGATGTGGCTTAGGTCACTGTGAAGCTCATCTGGTGAGCTGGCATCCGAGGACAGGAGGTTACACACTGAGGTCAGGTTGTCTTCTAACTGAAATTTTTCCACTACAAAAAGGATAATCAGGCCCATTTTCAGCTTACTCCTCACTGGGCAGTCTGTAGGGAAAAGGTCCGCGCTTTTTCCCTCCAGAAATGGTGCCATGTGCTTTTGCAGATATTCCCACAGGTCTTTCTTCACCTGATGGTGGGAGAAGAGGAAGATGCATGAACCGTGAACTTGAATTCATCAGAGGTGTCCAGAACCGCCCCAGCACCACAGCTAGGGCAGCAGACCCCATCCGTGCCCCCACCACACCTGCGGGAGCTACAGGAGCAGCCTCAGTGCAGCCAAGACCCTGGCATGAGGGCTCAGGCAGGGCCCCCGAGGCTCACCAGCGCTCAGCTTCACCTCAGAAACAGCTCCAGGCTGGCCTGAAACCCGCCCAGGCTGCACCGCAGTGTGGGAAAAGGTGCAGTGAGGGAGGACTCCCCGTTCCTTCCACTCTCCCTCCAAGGCCAGGGGAGGACTCAGGACTGGTGCTGGGGTGGGGTTCAGATTACAACCAGGAAAAGAAGGAAAATGGGGAGGGCAGGGAAATTCCAAGACACGGTGGTAGGAGAAAAGGTCGGAAACTTCTACACATTCCCATCTGCAACCCGGCCCACAGAGTCAAGGGGTCATCCGGCCACTAGCAGGTCAGGTGAGGCTCCTGCCCAGAAGGTAGAGCAGCTGGTGGCCAGCCTGATACCTCTTTCTCCCCATACTGCAAAGCGGTCCACAGCTGTGCGTGTCCTTCATAAATCATAGGCTGTCGCACGACAAAATAAAACTGCTGGAACTGGGTGAAGAAGTTGTTGAGGTTGATGGTGTCCCAGGTCTGCAGGATGCTGAAGATGCCATCCAGCATGACCGTGGCGGCAATCTGCTTCCCCTTCACCAGGTCCTTCCTCGTGAAGTCTGCGATATGGTTCATGACTTTCTGAAGTTTCCCGGGAGGCCTCATACAAACTATGTCATCGTACTGATGCCAGTCTGAGAGAGACAGAAAGAAGCAGAGTCTACCTAAGACCATCAAAACCCTGGTGACCCAGACGCTGGCCTAGAAGGCTGATCACGACTGGCACAGAGGTGGAGTAAACGGGCCAGAGGAAGGAAGGAAGGGAAAAGCAAAAACCTGCACACTGACGACAGCCAGACTCACTCCATCTGGCCTCTTATCTGAGGCCGGTCCCGTGCAAACGGACATCCTAGACGTCCCACAGTGATGAGTGGAAAGCCCCGGGTCGCGAAATGCAGCGGGCCTGAGACTTGCAACGGATCTCTAACTGTGTAGCTCAGCAAACTTGATAAACAACTTCCTTAAACATCATCACAAGGAGGTGGAACGTGTCATACAGAAACCACATCCCTCACTAGCAACTGAGCACTGTCCCGGTCCATCACTGAGCTGGTTTCCTCTGTACTAGGAATGGGACACAGCCCCTGGAGGAAGGTGCAGGCTGCCCAGCAGGCACAGATGGCCTTTGGCATGGTGGCTGGCACAGGGCAAGGGCTGAATTCATGACTGTTCTTAAGCTCCATTGCAAACGATGTGAGTGCAGACCTCATTACAGAGAACCCAGTGAGGTCGACTGTAAAATAATTAGAAAACACAAGAGGTCAATGAGATAGTCAGAGGCCCCGTGAAGACATACAAACAGAAGTAAAAATCAGGCAGAAACGGGAAGCACCCTGACAGGCCTCCTGAGCTCTCTGCTGTGCTTTGCGGGGGGCGGGGGCCCCACCTGCCGCACAGTTGTGTAGACTGTCAGTCAGGCCCACCCACCCCAGCTCTGCACCCCGGGCCCAGCAGGGCTTGCAACTGTTTAGTTCACCTCGGTCATCACCTCCTTGTGGAAGCTTCTGCCAACCTCCGGCTCAAATTCCCTACCACGTGCCTTTTTTTTTTGTTTTTTTTGTTTTTTTTGTTTTGAGACGGAGTCTTGCTCTGTTGCCCAGGCTGGAGTGCAGTTGCTGATCTTGGCTCACTGCAAGCTCCGCCTCCCGGGTTCACACTATTCTCCTGCCTTAGTCTCCTGAGGAGCTGGGACTACAGGGGCCCGCCACCACGCCCGGCTAATCTTTTTGTATTTGTAGTAGAGATGGAGTTTCACCATGTTAGCCAGGATGATCTCGATCTCCTGACCTTGTGATCTGCCTGCCTCAGCCTCCCAAAGTGCTGGGATTACAGGCGTGAGCCACCGCACCCAGCCACCACGCGCCCTTTTAACTGAGCCATCAATGCCATGGCATTTATCAGAGAAGGAATTCCATATTTATATCTATAGAATTCCATATTTAAATATATGGAATTACTGGACTAAGGCCTATTCTCTCAAAGCTTAAGTTCTCAGAGTACACTCTCTAGCTAGTAAAAATCACGTTTGGCTGGGCATGGTGGCTCACGTCTTAATCCCAGCACTTTGGGAGGCCAAGATGGGCGGATTGCTTGAGCCCACGAGTTTGAGACCAGACTGGGCAACATAGCAAAACCAGTCTCTCCAAAAAAAAATATGAAAAATTAGCCAGGCATGGTGGCACACGCCTGTAGGCCCAGCTACTTGGGGGACTGAGGGGGAGGATCAGTTGAGCTCTGGGGGTTGAGGCTGTAGTGAGCTGAGATCGTGCCATTGCACTCCAGCCTAGGTGACAGAGCAAGATCTTGTCTCAAAAAAAAAAATATGTTTTACAAAAACAAAAAAATAAATACTTTATAAAGTTCTTAGGACTTCTGTCTTTGTCCAAGGTGGAATGACAGGGACTAAATTTACATTCTCCCGTATCTGCCTAAAGCAACATATGAACAACATAAACAGTAAAACCACCATTTTCAAGACACCGGACAGCGGGGGGCAGGGAGCGGAAAGCAACAACCAGTTGACCCCAGCTCACTTCCTTGAGTTTCAGTGTCACTGTGCAGGGAGGGGGGAGCCAGGGGAAGCCCAGGACCCCCCAGCTGAGGAGGCAGTGCTGGGAGTCCAGGTGACCAAGAGAGCCCAAGTTTATAGACAGAGAACTCAGGCGGGGGACCCCTGAGAGAGGCATGGAGGGGCACAGAGGGCTCTGCGAGAAGGGGAGCGCCCGCGTCTATGGACAGGTGGGCGGAGCGGCTGACAGGCTGGGGATGGCAGCCGGCAGGAGCCTGCAGACGGGGCTCTGGGCGTCATCTCCAGTCAAGCATCTGAAAATCTCGAGAGAAGTGACAAGTCCCAGTGGCCTCCTGGTCACTGCACTCGTCCCTGACCCAGCTTCCAGGCCTTTGCTGCCCCTCTGTTCCCAGTCACAGCCCTTCTTCTGGCTTCGTGTTCTCTCCTTTCCCTTAATTAAAAATGCTTTCCGGCCGGGCGCAGGGGCTCACACCTGTAATCCCAACACTTTGGGAGGCCGAGACCGGCAGATCACCTGAGCTCAAGACCACTGGCCAACATGGTGAACCCCCGTCTCTACTAAAAATGCAAAAGTTAGCCGGGGGTGGTGGCAGCCTCCTGTAATCCCAGCTACTCAGGAGACTGACGCAGGAGAACTGCTTCACCCCGGGAAGCGGAGGTTGCAGTGAGCCGAGATTGCACCACTGCACTCCAGCCTGAGCGATAGACTCCATCTCAAAATACAAACAAACAAATCTGCAAGTGAGTGGGTAAGTCACACCGAGCTCAAAGGAGAAGCCAACATATCTTTAACCAACCAGGGACACAACCCAAAGTCAGTGTCACTGAACCTCGAGGCTGGGGAGGGGCCATTGCGGAGCAGAGGCCCTCACTGCCCAGGCAAAGTCTGTGGTCTCCAGAGAGACGCGCCCAGTACTGCAGGGCTGGCACCTGCACTCTGGAAGGGTGAGCAGACAGCCTCCTGCCACGACTTACCTCCTGAGCCCAAAAGTGAAGATTTTATGAACAGACAGCGGTTGACGTACTCGCCCTCCTTCTGCTGGCGCTTGTAGATGAACTCATACTCAGCAGAGCCCTTGTTATTACAAATGACGTACTTGTAAGGAATGTATTTATTTAGGTATTTCTTGGAAATGACGGCGCTGCCTTCAACAAGAATGCCATCACGATGTAAGGCTCTGGGAAAGAACAGGATACAGTTGGTTATCCAAAATTCCCATCCCGGAAATTTTAGTTCTTCTCAAACACAGCATGGAGTGCAAAGCTACAAATTGATGTGGACCAAGAGGAGGCTTCTAGAACAAGAAAAGAAACCCTGGCAAAGCTGGGTTCTACGGCCCATGCCTGAAATCCCAACACCATGGGAGGCTGAGGTGGGAGGACTTCTCGAGTTCAGAGGTCAAGGCTGCATTGACCTGTGATCCCACCACTGGGTGGGATCCAGCCTGGGTGACAGAGCAAGATTCTGTCTTGGATAAACAAAGCTGGGCACGGTGGCCCAGGAGATTGAGGCTGCAGTGAGTCATGAGTGTACTCCCGCCTAGGCAACAGAGCAAGATCCCCTCTCTAAAAAAACAGTGTAATAAAGAAAGATTACTTAAAAAAAAAAAAAAAAAAAAGGGTGACACAGAAATGCATGGCCAGGAAGAGCTGTCTGAAATATTCATCTTCCAAAAGCCAAAGGATGTCGTCAA